CACATTGGATCTAGAGTCGAGACTCTTGAAAACATCGACAAGAAAAAATACTCTTGATTCAATCGGATTTTTGCTTGAATCGAAACGAAATCCACTTAAATTAAGAGGCTTGGTTCTTGATTTAAGCTAGATCCTGATTGAATCAAGAGTACTTTTTCTTGTCGATGTTTTTAAGAGTCTGGACTCTAGATCCAATGTGTTTTTTTTCCAGTGTGTGGCAATAGATGCAGAATCCACCGCGGCCAACCACGGCAAAGTCTGTTACACGCGTTCGTGTGGGCACAGCAGCCCCCCACCCCCAAATACCTCCCCTCCTCTTAATAATTACGCCACCCTAAGTAAATGAAAAAACGCAGGAAGAAAAATGAAAATGAGACACAAGTCGAAAAGTTTCGTTTCTAATATCCTCTCTTCAGTCTTCGTATGTACTTGTGGAGATTTTTCGGGTCAAATTTATTTTCTCCCGGTGGAAATTAATATCAACTAGACTCACACTGACGTGCTGAGGAAAAACGCCGAATGATCCCACACTATCTCTATAGTAACCTGGTCAACTGAGAAAATTCTGAATAGTTTTCTTCAATTTTTCATGCAGTTTTGTTTGCAATTTAATCTATTAAGTAAACATAACTTTCCTCCAAAATAAATATTTTATCGTGGGAGAGTTGGCAACGTCTGAAGGCCCATACTGCGTTTTCTCTTAAAACAGCAGCACACTGGGTGCGTTTAACTTTCCTGAAGTCTAAAATCAAAATCAAACATTAACTAAACCTTATTAATTACCCAACAGAAAGTAGGAAAATATGCACTTGCTGACGATTTTCTCCGATGACCAACGCTCTCTCTCGGCGGAACCGCAAACTACGCGCCGGGCTCTATTCCCTCCCCTCCCTGCTCTTGCCTTCGAGAGCCCATCGCCCGCCACCTGTCGCCAGTCTGTCTGGCGGTATCTCCAGTTCCTTTGTGCCGCGCCGCCCCATCGGAATTTGCGTTAGCGCCATGGCGCCTAGAACCATTGATTCGGTTTCCGAGAATTGAGTTCTCCGTTATCTGTTTCTTCCACTGCTGACCCACTTCTTCGGGTGCTCGGAGTGACCACCCACGTAACTTGTTTACATTCGTCCCCTAGTGCGATTCTTACGTATAGTATGATACATGATTCCTTGATGATTTTCAACGAAGAATTCGAATCTGAGGTCAGATTTTGGCTGTCGTGCATTATAATTTCTTCAGAATGTGGGCCGGCCATAAATCACATTTACATGTGCGGAAATGCAATTTAACGGGAAGATGTGAGAAAAAATCGGTGCCGTTTGATGCATCATGTATTCTAGGGAAAACTATCGTGTTCAATGAATACTACCGGTAAAAGGACACACATGCTTTCAAAAAGGAAAAAGAAAAAAATACGAATAAAGAGGAGGGGGGGCATATTTTGGACAATTTTCAGAAGTTCTTTTACAAATCTCATTTTTTCTCTCATGTGTGGAAATGCATAATTTAACGCGAAGCTGTGAAAAAAAATCGGTGCCGTTTGATGCATCATGTATTCTAGGGAAAATTATCGATTTCAATGAATACTACCGGTAAAAGGACACACATGCTTTCAAAAAGGAAAAAGAAAAAATACGAATACAGAGGAGGGGGGGCATATTTTGGACAATTTTCAGAAGTCCTTTTACAAATCTCATTTTTTCTCTCATGTGTGGAAATGCATAATTTAACGCGAAGCTGTGAAACAAAATCGGTGCCGTTTGATGCATCATACATTCCAGGGAAAATTATCGATTTCAATGAATACTACTGCTGATGAAAGGACACAGACGCTTTCGAAAAGGTAAAAGAAAAAATATAAATAAAGAGGAGGGGGGGGTATTTTGGACAATTCGCAGGAGAAGTTCATTTACTAATCTCATTTTTTTTCTCTTTTATCAGGGAATCTATTTTGTAAACCATAAAATAAGTCCCAAAGTAAGCAAGTGCGAAAATTATCCGCTCGGTTTGAGTATTGAATGCAATATTTCTGTGTTCGCAGACTTTCAGCTTTGCGTCAGGGTAACGAAGTAATTCTTAGGGAGGAGACGACTGAAATATGTCTCGAGGTATAACGGATATGTTTTTTGCCAAAAAAAAAATCAATTGAAATCTGTAAAGAAAAAAAATGAGTTCGATAAATCTTTTTTTTTTCTAATCCCGGTGTAGCCTTATGGGCAATTTATTTTAACTCCACTGAATATATGGACTGCATTTTGCAATTTGGAACTATAAATTCTGGCTCTTCTGGAAAAACACCTATACATAGGTATCCTATCCATAGGGAAACTATTGGCACATACGTTGTTTTTAAACCGGGCTAGAATTTATAGTTCCAACTTGCAAAATGTAGTCCATATAATGGACCAGTATTGAGCTATATATAAATGACGTGATATCTCTGAGTGTGAGTATATGCTTTCCATGTTTAAAATGCTTCGATTCCTGTAAGTAATATCTCAAAGATATTCTGTACCTATAGTTATGCGCATATCGACGGTGAAACTACCAAACCACGTATCTCGGTTTGCGACGTCGCAGACTTCCTGTCATACTTTATTTTTTAAATGAAAAACTACTTAACATCCAGTCTTGAAAATTTCTGTGATTTTTCCTCTTTGTGCGGAGAAAATTCCGTGAAAATTTCAAAGAATGATATTGATTTGGTCTACTTCAAAAAAATAAAATGTGAGCGTAGATTTTTAAACACCGCAAACGAGATACGTGGTTTGGTAGTTTCACCGTCGATATTCGGAAATACACTGACATACACTTGTTACAGAGATGTCCATCAAAGATCAAATGCAGAGAGATCTCTCGGAGGCCTTCCTGACGACCATGCAACAAACAGTGGAAATCTGCACGGATCTCGTGAAACCGGGCGCTCTCGGTCCTGCCCTCCACGTAAGTTCGCCTTCAATTTCGCCGCATAGGCAACAAATCTACCGGGGAGCACGAATAGTTATCTATCCAAAAACCGCACATTTTTGTTCATTGCCCCATCAAGTTTGATAGAATCTGTAAACAACTAGCTCCTACGGGCGCCCTCCACAGCTAGCAATGGTGGTGCAGTAGTTTAATTGGAATCGGAGCAATTAGTTGAATCTATTTAATAATGATGAATAAAATGTCTGTAACAATACGTGTTGATAGCAATACGCAATACTGCAGTTAATAAGTCAGGGTCAGTCAAGCCGCAGAGAAGATGCCAGGATATCAAGAAGCTGTGAAGCGGAGCAGCCGAGGGATGGCGAAGGAATGTGGGTGGCAAGTGACGAACTGACGAACGACGATGCAACCCAAACTTCCCTCTTTGAGGTTGGTGGGAGGAGAGCTATACGAAAGAAAACGGAGATAGCCGAAAGAACGTGGCGGGAGGGGTAGCTGAGCCCGTAGAGGGGGTACCTAGGGACGGGCAAGCAGGTAGCGGCCGGACGACCGCTTGAAACAGCTGAACTTTACTCGTCGATAAAAGTAAGAAAATTTGAGAAAATCGAAAAAACAATTACAGCCTGCAAATCTACAGATCAGAAGCTCTCATTTAAAAAAAAACCCCATGCAAATCGGTTCAGTGGTTCTCTCAAAGTTAATGTCCCAAAATGCGGACTTTAGTCTGAATAAATGGGAGAAAATTTGAGCCCAGCTAAACTGCACTCGTCGATAGAAGGAAGAAAATTTGAGATAATCGGAAAAACGATCACAGCCTACAAATCTACAGATCACAGGCTTTCATTTAAAAAAAAACCCCATGCAAATCGGTCCGGTGGTTCTCTCAAAGTTAACGTCCAAAGATTCGGACCTCCGTTTTAATTCATTGGAGAAAATTTGAGAAAATTATAGGAAAAAATTTGAAAAAATCGGAAAACAAATTACAGCCTGCAAATCTACAGCTCAGGGGCTTTCATTTAAAAAAAAGATCAGGCAAATCGGTCCGGTGGTTCTCTCAAAGTTAATGCCCCAAGATTCGGAACTTTGCATTTTAATATATAGGATATTGTAAACCTACAGGTATTGTCCATTTGAAGATCGCCTTCAATTTCGCTACTTAGGCAACAAACTCACAGGAGAGCGCGAATAGTTATCTATCCGACATTTTTCTCAATCTGGGAGCTTAAATTGCACGATTTTAAAGCTGTTCGTTCTCTGGGCGACTTCTAAAAAGTGCAACTTGATCATCCGTCTGCAATTTAACAATGGCATCTCTAACAATTCCGGAAATTTAGAGAGAATAATTATTCATACTTCGCGTGCCAGCTTAGGCAACTTATATACCATCGAAGTTCGTCTTTTTTTTTCTTTCAGATAATTATTTTATTCAAATTGCATGTTCAACGGCAACCTTTGTTCTGAATCAGCAGCTTTCTTATGCTTCATTTGCCATTTGCGAATTTTATCAAATTACACGAACATTAACACATTGTATGTGTAGAAGTTTTTTTAGTTCATCTCCCTAGATTTTTAACAGTATCATGCGTCTAGGTAGCTTCTTAGATTTTTATTCTAAATAATTTCATTTCTAAATTATTTAAACGCTTAAACTGAACCGTTGTGTTGTCACACACTTTTTAAGTTCCAGAAAAGCATATTTCCGAGATTTTACTGCACACTGGACAAACATTGTTATTAATGTGTAAATATTTGAATGAATACGCTCATTTTTTCGTTCGTTTTTCAGATCGAGGATCCAATTTTTGGGGACAAGTCATGGAACTTTTTCATCGGCTTTCAAATTGGTTTCACAATTATGTAAGCGACTTATGCCTGAATCTTCCAAAATTTGAGACAATGCTTTTGAGAATAAATACTTGTTTCAATGTTTTAATTAAACTGTACACGCGGCACTTTCTAATTGACCGTCCCTAAGAAGGAAGAGAAAAGTACCTAGCTTTCTAAACTCGACGCAGCAGTTTGGCATCCAATTTCTATAATTACCAATCAATGGAGTGAAATGAAAATTCCCTATTGCGACGTTGCAAACTTCCACGCTTATGATTCATTTTTAATGAAAAAGAAAAATAACCAATACTTGGGGTTTTTTTTTCTTTAAATTTCTATCAACTCGCAATACAGTAGACTCTGGATTATCCGGATTAATTGGTGCCGGGCCCGATCCGGATAAAAAAGAAATCCGGATAATAATCGTTAACACAAACACCACCAACCAACACCACAGTATTTTCATTATGTATACATCATGTACATACCAACACGAATGTAAAAGGTTAACGCCAAACTGAACGACTCAATGGTGATCGTGAATGGTAGCCGACAACGATAAATTACAATACAACGATTAAAGCGCGCAATGCGTGAAGTATTCATGCAGTCTTGTAGCCGCTAATGTGCGTTTTAGGCTAACTAACCGACTGAAATGCGTTTGGTGTAATGCGAGAAGTATTTATGCAATCTAGTAGACGCTAATGCGTTCCACGTCGACCTCACTGTTTGGCGCAATGCGTGAAGTATTCCTTCAGCCTTGCAGGCGCCAATATGCCTTGCGACCGCTTCTCCGCGGATCCGCTCACTTATCGGAATGCGTACATAGTTACATGGTTGCAAAATCTATCCAAATAATCCAGAGTCCGGATAATACGAAGCCGGATAATCCAGAGTCTACTGTACTCAATTCGAAATTCGATTCATTCTGATCAGAGGCATTCCTTTGGAAAATTAATGCCACCTTGAATAATCTTTTTGATTAATTAATTGCGGCAACACTTAAAAATTGCAAGGATCATTATAATTCAGTTACCAACTCAGTTTTGTAGACAGAGCTTTGGTGCTGGCAGAAAAAATTCCCAACTTATAGATTGAGTTCATGTAATTTTATTAATGCTAATTTTTGCTCATATTTCAGTGGTGCCCTTTTCTGTTCAATGGTTTTCTCATCGGCTACAATGTTGGAGGAAAAAATGGAGGGATCGTTGGACCGTGTTTTATCGAATGGTAGGTTCAAATAAAGCACAGAGATTCACATCACACTTAAAAAAAAGCAAACTGCCTGTAAAATTATGTTTAGATTACTAAATCCGAGGGTTTATGACACCGGGGTATCTACTATAACAGGTTGGCCAAAAATCAGTACTTTAAGAGTACTTTTTCAGTATATTCCCAAGAAGTTTAGCACCTCCTCAACAGAAAAATTCGGTACTTTTCCAGTATCTCCATTTGACGAAATTCGAAAAATTCCAAAACTTGAATTTCTCGCTCAAATTGCGATAAAAATGACAAAAATGAAAAAAATTCCGAACCTACTTGCAGAATTTCCGCTCTTTTATTACTTCCAGACCGCCCTTAAAAAAATCAGTGGTATTTGTTTCATTTATTTTATCTAAAAGGCCTACAAAAAAAGGGGGGAAATAGAGAATATAAATAAAAATGATTGATCACTATTTTAAGATTACCGTTTTACCATCTGCTCAAGCGATGCGCTGATCAAATTTTCCAATGCCACGTTCCAATATTTCCTCTCTTCATTCGAAAATATTATTAGCTAATATTGTTTGATTGTAAATCGATAGTAACAGAGTCGGAATAGCGCTTAGGGACCCTGGGTGTCGGTCATTAGGAGCCCCAAATCCTAGATTCTGGGGCCTCCAAAATATTAGTTTTAGGGCTTCTCTCAATCCGCCTTTTAGACTCCAAAAACCCCTGGAGGATCCAGAATGAAAAAATCGCCCACAGAGGGGCCTGGGTCGGAAAATCCAAATGCAGATCAGCAATTTGGCAATACTGGATTTCCTCCATTAAAACCTATGTTGAATAATCGATTCTTGTCGAAGCACCTGGTCCCTCCAAGAATCAATACATTTCCATAGGTTTTGATTGGGAAAAAACAATGTTGCCAATTTGCTGGATCCGCCAATGAGAAAAGCCGACCCTGATCGCTAATTTTAACTTTTAATTTTCTTTGCAAACATAGGAGTCTCGATGTGGGACATCATGATGGGACACATTCTCCTCCACTCAATAACAGCGATTTTCTACACTGTAGAAACATATTTCATATTGGCTGACCTCATATCGTTGAAAGGTAGCCCATACCTTCTCATGGTCATATTGTTGTGCACTGGAATGACGGGAGTATTTCTCGGTAAGCATTTTTCAGTGTTGACTCTTTTACAGTCAGATTGATAGCTATGCAATGATCTAATAACGATCATAAATTTAATGCAACTGATTTAATGAAAACTTCAGAAGCCTAAAGTCAACAGACTTGGCCATACATTACTGTCATGCGAAGGAAGAACGCTGTATGAGCCTTTAGACGTTGCCAAACTTCCTTTGACAAAACACGAATTTTCAAAGAACTTTGTGAGTACTGAGTATTCTGCTTCCAAATTTTTAGGGAGTTTTTTCGTGATTCGGTCTCAAGTGTCAGAAAATATCAATGAAAAATATTCATAATTATCCTCAAAAATTGGTAGTTTCTGAGAGTAAATGTGGCAAAATTTGAATGTCCGTACAGCGTTTTTCCTTAGCACAGTAGCATAGCTTGTAGGTATTTTTTTCTTAATGCAGAGGGAAGGTTTTAAATTTCTTCTAAATTTTCTTAAATTTCTACGGCCCTTTGGTAAAATACTTGGTTTCCTTCTTCTTTCTTATTTCTCCAAAATCTATTAACATTAATCCTGCCAGGTTAAGAGAGAGCTATGCATAAGCTCCTAGTCAACGTTGTCAAATATTCTCCAATGAAATGCAAATCTGGGAAACTAGTGAACATTAAAGTTCTTCCACTCAATCAGAAAATTCCATTGGCAATTTAATGTGAAGTACTCATCCAACTACTCTCAGGAGAAAGATTTATGATTTTTCTAAAAAATCAGCATTTTCATAGAGATGAACCTAAAGGCAATCAAATTTTTGCATACGACATTTGAACATATTTATGCTAAAAGGAACTATGTGCATAGGGATTGCGTGTGACATAGTTCCTTAAAGCATAAATACGTCCATCTGTTCTTAGCTTCGCCGAATTAATTAATATTACACATGAGAAATTTACATCATTCCATTGATTTTTCTCCTCACAAAGCTGGGAAAAAAAGGAGGAGGGGGGGGGGGGGGGGGTATAAATCTCTGCAAACCACATTGTGCCACTGGCATTCTAGTCAAAAGAATTTCTTCCTTACTATAACTTTTACTCAAGCAGCGTATATAATCATTATGCTGGTGATTCTATTGTTTCAGGTGGTATAATTGGACTCGTTACAGACCACTTGTTGGTTGCAGTGAATGGCACCGCTGGTTTTAACTTCGCTTTCGTTTGCTTAACTGGTAAGTATGCAAACATAATGCAAATGGTACATACCTGTAATAATGCAAAACGAATTTGTCTAGCACAAGGACAAAACCAAGGTGCATGGGGTAATAATGGTCTCAGTAGAAAATTGTTGATAGGCTCTTGGATCCAAAATTAAAACCAGGGTGATAGCAAAATATCCTTGAGTTCCTTGCAGTACTAAATAATTTCCTCAAAGTAGTATGAACTCAGCAGTATTCTACCTATCTGTCTCCTATCTAAGCCGCAAGTAGCACAGATTGTGACAAGTTGCAGCAATATGATCAAATTATTGCTACGTCACTAGAGGTAGAGGTGTCGTGCATGTTGCCTATCTAAGGATTGAAGGGGCACTTCTTATTGAAAATTGCAATAAAATCAAAATAAGCTACAATCTATCACTGCACTGAATACTGCCCATCTCTCTGATACACGGAACTGATTATTGACTGTTGATTGTTTAAAATTAACGTTTATTGACTAAATGATGCCTGTAATTCCGTTGTAAAATAATTGTAATATTATGCATTAGATCGCAATTTAATTTCAATATTTTTATTTCACCGTGCTATTTGGGATAAGTAAGTTCTCTGGATTTGAACATGCAAGCCGAAGAACTGAAATTGAAAGTGACAGGCTGACGCGTTAATCAACGGGATTTCCTAACTTTTTCAGGTCTTCGTGAATCTTGTAAGTTTTTCAGGTCACAGTAAATTTCCTAACTTTTCTGATCAGTGGAAACCCAGTATCCACATCATAGGAAAAGTTTGATTACTGGGATTTTGTTTGACTACCAAACACCAAACGAAAAGAGCAATCTGAGTACGTAATTCAATCACTTTCTCGTTGACCCACAGGTTTAGTTTGGCCAATAGAGGGAGCACACGCAAGTCTGAGAACGATCTTGCCATATGTTCCGGTAACAAGCACGATCCAAGTAGTCAAAGATATTGGTATTAGAGGTTACGGCCTTTCAACCCCAGTTGTGGCAAAGGGAATGGCACAAGTTGTAATGTGGATGATTGTCAGCCTGCTAGCCGAAATTCTGGTCATCAAAATGCGCAAAGGAACGTGGAATGTAAGGAAGTAACAACGATGGAACTGGTAGTTCACTCTCAGATACTTTAACTTTTGCCTTTTTGGGTATGTACTTAAGAAAAGGTGGGTGCCACAATTTGAGGGGCACTGATGGCAATCCTTTTGGCTATTATATGACAATTTTAGAGGCTCTTTAGTCTTAAAACAGTTCAAAATTCTGACAGTAATTGTAATTTAAAGAGATAGCTGATATATGAGAGCACCTAGACAATGTTACAGCAAAAGAGAAAAAGCACAAAAAGATTGATGGAAATTGTTTCTTTTTAAGTTTTTCTAACGAGGAGCAAATATTTTGTGTCTTGAGATAGGTAAAAAGTTGTCTTTTGTCACATTTACCATTCAATGTATTGTCTAAGTTAGGGCTAGATTATATCTACTCAGTTTGCAAAGATAATGTAATTTTCGTTGAATTTTTTCTTGAATTTTAAAAATTTGTACAGATTTAGTTAGATCTTGACGGAAAAAGTCTGTATCAGACATATGTTTTTCCTTCTCTATGTTATTTTTCTGACAGCAAAAGTTGCTTAACTGTCTTGTTATTATGTAGAGTTTGTAAAAAAAAGCTGTAAAATAATATCGACATTTTTAAACTTTGTGTACTCCTTCATTTCCTCCATTTTTCCTTGTTCCTTCAAGAGCCATCCAACTTATCAGAATTAAAGGAGGGATAGAAGAAGTGTTATATACCTGGGAGATTGAATTTCCAGAGTTGAAACTTTGAAAATAAACCTTGACACTTAGAGCCACTGTTCGGTCAATTAAAGACTTTAATGGACAACATTGTTCTAATGCAAAGAGGCAGAGTTTGAATTAAAATTTGCAGCACACCAGCAATAATTTTTGCCGCGCCAAAAAGTACTTTTCAAACAGAACATGAAACTCATTCTCAAACTGTTCTAAATGTAAATTATGTGAATATTTTGTCATAAAAAAATAAGTAAAAAAATGCCCTGAAAGGAGTATGAAGAGAGTAATTGAACAACAATCTTAAATTCACAGTACATTTTTTTAAACAAAACATGTATTACCGAGACTAACAATACTGACCTAAAATAGAAAAATTCAATATTTCCAAATTAGTAAACCAATAAAAAAAAAAAATTTGAAAATAAAAAAAAAATTATAAACCATAAACATGAGACATGCCTTGGCTGAGCTGCATTTGAGTATGATATGTTCAGTTCTTTAATCAGAATTTAATTTAATTTTCTCAATTGAATTGTATCAGTAAGAACGAAAACACACCAACTCGAAAAAATGAAAATAATCAAGGCACACACAAAACTGCATATTAGGTGAAGAAGTTAGTCTAGGAAAAAGATTTTTGGTGCCTAAAAGCAAGTACTTAAGGAAAATTTAAATGTTCAAATCGGAACAGATATGGTAACTTCAATGACCTTTATGCAAATTGTCTGCCCTTAGTGAGAAGTGAGCATTTTCGAGTTACCGAGTCGGTGTGTTTTCGTTCTGACTGCTTCAATTTTATTTGGAGGTGATTTTAAGCATTGAAAATTGTAAGTCAGTCTTTGAGAATAAGCTTTCCCACCATTTGAACTTGAATGTTTAATTTATTTACTTACAACAGACCTCAGCCTGTTTGCAGACTCATCAACTTCAATAACTGCTTTTAGATTAACATCACCATGTTATGTCTATCACCTTGTTTTTCTGGTACATCAAACCAAGGGTAAAAATAATTTCATGAATGATTACTCATCGCATTAGTTTACAATTGATTAACTACTGCCATTACCGTCCACAGTAATCATTCTGAGTTTGTAGACTAAACTTAATGTTTCAAAATCAAGAAATCACCGTCTATTTTATTTGAGCTGAAATAGACCCATTTGAAAAAATTTGGATCAACTTAACTGAAATCCGGCTAACTACTTTTCAGATTGTCGGTTACGTTTTATTTTTTTTAACAAAAAATTAAACCAGCTTACACCTTGAAACTTTCTATAAACTTCCTCTCAATTATCAAAAATATACACACAAGATTCTAAGTTAGAATGTTGCTTGGTTTTTTGTTAAAAAAAAAAAAAAAAAAAAAAAAAAAAAAAAAAAAAAAAAAAAAAAAAAAAAACGAGAGGAAATTAGATGAGGTCTGATGTCGTAAGGCTGATTTTGGCTAAAGCTGTTCATTTGAAGTCTACATCTCATTCTAATCCCAAAATTGCAGGAATAACCGAGAGTCAATAAGTTTTGCATAAGGAATGCAATGTCAAATGGACTCCAAACTGTTTTCAGCATAACATTAAGTATCAGTCTAAATCACAGCATTACTTCGTCACCTTCCAGGCAAAGTATCACAAGCGCCATGCGACGTTTAAAAATTTCCGCTGCCATTTTATTTTTTTACTGAGAAATTGTTGGTTGAATCTGTTCGAAAATTTCACTAAATTTTATCGGCAGCACAAAGAAAATTCGGTGTAATTTTCGGACAGCTTCGTTGAACAATTTCTCTGTAAAAAAATATAATGGAGGCGGAAATTTTAAAACGTCGCATGGCGCTTGTGATACTTTGCCTGGAAGGTGACGACTTCCTAAGCCATGATAGTCTGTCATTTTCAAACCTCAGCTAATCAAGTTTTTCTACTTGAACACGTCAAAACATGACGCCTCTTGGAGTGACTGAGATCCTCTGTATGTAAATAAATTAAACAATAAAAAATACAGGGAAAAATCGTTGTAGAAAGACCTCAGTGAAGCAATATGCCACCAAACAAGATATGGACTAGAGAGAACGTCACATGATGTCTCTTCAAAATCTGACATAGACATTTTCACAACAAGAAGTCTGGAAATCAACTCCTTGACAAGGTACATATCGTCGCCCCTCTGACGTAACGGGCGTATTTTACTTTCCACATGAGCCCTAATTTACATGTAAATCCATACTTCCTGCAGCTCATGCAGTAATCCAGATACGCCTTACGCCAGAGGAGCGATGATATTGACAAGTGTTTCTGACACACATCAAATGGAAAATAGATTATGCAAAGAACGTCATTTATATTTTTAACCGTTTGACCAATGTTAATTGGAAACACTTGTATGTACCTTGTTTGGGAGTGGATTTACAGATTTTCCCGGGCGTGATAATTTTTCCTCAAGATATTTTGAAGAAAAAGCATATTGTGCAATGCTTTAATGGGCCTGTTGCAAACTTTTGCTAGAGCAAAAATAAGAGTTGTTTCTTGTAGATAATGCCTCAAAAATCACGATGAGCGCATCGGCAAAGTCTGAAATGCACTCATAACTTCACAATCTGCGTAAGAAATTTGCGTTTTTTTAAGCTTCCCGCTTCAAAAACGATACTACGGCACAGGTGAACATTTTGTTAGAGGAGTCGCTCCATCGTCGGCGATATTCATCATGGCCGACGCTTGCTCGCAGTTCCGTGCGTGATTCGAGGAGAGTTCAAGGTCAATCAATTCGGGCGTGGAAAATATGAACGTTAACACACCGATTGTTATCCGGTCTAATCCAGTTCAGGTGTTTTATCTCGTCCCATCAAACGTGTTTCGGCGGATTGGCGTCGGCCATGATGATTATTGCCGACGATGGAGCGACTCCTCTTACAAAATGTTCACCTGTGTCGTAGTATCGTTTCTGAAGCGGGAAGCTCAAAAAACCGCAAATTTCTTACGCAGACTGTGAAGTTATGAGTGCATTTCAGACTTTGCCGATGCGCTCATCGTGATTTTTGAGGCATTATCTATAAGAAACAACTCTTATTTTTGCTCTAGCAAAAGTTTGCAACAGGCCCATTCATACCTTGTCAAGATTTCTATTTTAAGTGATGAATGACCATTGAATCTCCTTTAAGCTTAGATAAAAACAAGAAAAAACCTATGAGTCTGCAGCAATTTCATCTTGAATGACAAATATTTTGGCTATTTCATCATGTACAAATGGCTCCTTGGAGTTTCGATCCACTATTTGAATTCCAGAGATGAACTACAACAAAGGAAATAAAAAAAGATTAGTGCAAAGTCTGGAATTCAAAGTCTCATTTGATCATCAACTGTGGGTAACTTTTAACATTTCTTATTGTTATATAACAATAGAAGAATATTCTTCTGCTTGGTTATTTGAGTAGAAATTACTTTGACTTTAAACCACTTTTAGATTTGAAAACGTAGGTAAACTTTATTTTGAAAGCGCTGGCACCTATTCAATCCAAACAACGTCTAACACCTTTAAAGTCACGAGGACCTTTAACATTTTAACCACATTTTTTTGAAACACTTTCTTCGCACAGTGTCAATTCTAACAGTGTCCTTAATTTTATTCCTCGGATTTGGATGAAACTACAGGGGAGGAAAAGACAACAAAGGAGTTTGCCCCCCTAAACACTGTGCAATTTGACTTAAATTTAGATACTGACTCCATGAGACTTTCAAATTAGATTTCAAATGATCAACTTTTGAATAAATTCAATGCTTTCTGCATGAATGAATGGATTCTGAGAAAAGAAAACTAAGAGGAACTCCCTTAAAATAAGTTGGCAGTTCTATGCTCTTTGTTCGTAAGTATTTACAATATGACTGTCCGACAATCAAAAGTTAACTGCTGGCAATGCTGCCGCCATGGTCAGATACGTAGAATGGTTTACTGCGCATGAAAGTTAGAGGTAAACAATTGCTAATGGAACTGATTTGTGCTTTACATCCTCAGTTAGTAACCTAATCTTGGAAATTTTGGTTTGTTCGAATATTTAAATTTGCTCATTGAAAATGGGCATTCTTTCTGTGACTTTTTTGCTGAGGAAGATTTCATTGACTTTCCTTATTCTTCATTAATCCATCACCTTCCAGCCAAAGTATCACAATCACCATGCGAGATCTAAAAATTTCTGCCGCCATTTATTTTCTTACAGAGATATTGATGGTTGAATCTGTTTGAACCTTTTACTGAATTTTATCAGCAGCACAAAGAAAATTCAGTGACATTTCCGGACAGCTTCGCTGAAAAATTTCTCAGTAAAAAAATGAAATGTCGGCAGAAATTTTTAAATGCCGCATGGCGCTTGCAATACTTTGGCCGGAAGGTGACAAATTACAGCGTACATGATGAGACAAACAATCAGGTTTTTTTATACTGTATACTGGTTGTTGTAGCCGGTCAGTCAAAACAAGCAAAGATTATTACATAACTCTTGCTAACTCATGACAATAAAATGCAAATAACCGTTTGATGAAATAAAACTTCTTCAGCTACTTTTCCGACAAATACAACCATGCAGTGCTCACCAACAATCCGGTTGAAAGAGGTACAAGAGAGAGGGGAATTTCTAGATTTTTGTTGGGTTCTAGTGGACCAAGATGTTTTCCTGAGACTCCTCTCCAAGCTAAACCAGTGACTGGTAATAAATTTAAGACTAGATTCATTAATCTCTCACTGAAAACAAAGGGATCAGATTAGTTGAATGATGGTGAAAGGGGGCAGTTGGAGTAAGGCATGATAAAGTGAACAACCAGAGAATATAATTAATATAAAAATTTACAGTCATCCTCCAGAAGAACACTTAGAGTTAATTATAAAATTGGTTGAGATTCTCCATATGAGGACTCATCTGTAACAATAATGGATGTGAAAAATTACCTTTGCGAAACACATTCAAAAAACTTTTTTGGCATCGGGAAAATTTTGAGAAAATACTTGAGATGTGATCTTCGAGATCTGTACATTATGCCAGAGCCAAACATATTAAATTTTTGTGTGAACAAAACAGTTTTTCAAGCGTGTTTCGAAAAGGTAATTTTTCACATCCGCCATTGTTACAGAAAAGTCCTCATATGTATACTATTTCCCGAGTGAAAATGAGAAAGTGTTTGGTGAGCTGTGCCTTAAAAACAACTTTATAAAGATCGAAAAATCGACTGATATTTCAATAGTACAAAATCTAGATAGTATTCAATTAATTTAATCATTCAAAGTAGAGATGAGAAAAAAACTTTTTGGAACTTCTTGGCAATGTTTTTCCCGCAAAATGGTGTGGACCCAGCACCATTTCTCCACCTTGTCAAAGTAGAGATTAGCATGCTTACAAGTGGCAAACTATCTGGAAACCTCTGCCGCTTGGGCAATTTCACACTGTCACAGGCTACTTGGAGGTTGCAATGTGTTCAATTTTCAAAAGAGAAAAACAAACTCTAAATAGAAATTCAGAAGCATATTTTTCAGCCTCCAAGGCTAAAGTCATTAGAAAGGTTTCAACGTACCTAGTGTTCGTGATGCGACACTTAAAGTTGAATGGTTTTTCTAATTGAACAATATTTGGCAGTTCAGTGATGGATAAATGCATATCCCTATAAGCAGGAACCTAGATGGAAATAAGATATGAAAAATTAGAGCAAAAAATCAAAATATGTTGATATGCCTACAATATTGTGAGCAAAACCCTTGGATTTGTAGGGCGAAGCACACTCATTGTTGAATTCATGTATTCAATTGATTTAGAATTTCTTCTGAGACCTAGCTAAAAATTAATGAAACGTAGAACACTGAAGTTTCCTAGGCTAAAGCTAATAGTCAGCCGTATAAAAGAAAAAGGAGAAAAAAGGAGATAAACTTAATTTTGATAGCTGGAATTGAGATGCAAGTTTTAGAAACTATTTAGATCATTGATGAAGGATTTTTAAAATTCAACTTTGTTGGATGTTAATTTATCTTCCGCACAAAGGACGTAGCTTAATTATTTCAGTATTCCTACCTACGTTTTATTTTTTTACAGGAGAACCATTGCATAAATGTACCTGAACTTTCCAGTAATTTGCCCTCATGTTTGTGAGAAAAGATTCTGAAGTTTTAAGAGTGCTTTGAGAGAGTTTCCCCATGAAAAAATACAATGTTCGTAGAGATACTGAAACAGCGCAGTCCATGTACGGTTCTTCATGCTGGTGATGACGCTTAATTTGACAAATCTCTTGATGATTAGACACATTATGGAGGATTGAGCAAATGACAACCACAGCCTTTTTTTCATCTCCGTGATAGAACCTGTGATAATTTTTGCAAGAAAAGGAAAAGATAATTCTTACCTGCCTATCCAGTTGACATACTTGCAGCCTGCCTTTTTCACCCAAGTTGGATCGCCATACAATGTCCAATTTACCTATATTTGTAGCACCATTTAGTAATTTCTGATCAGCAAGCAAAGCGGGTTGTGGGAGCAGGCAGTACAGGAACTGACGAGTTGTTTGCACGGGCATCATGTTTATATGGCCAAACACTGAGTCACCATTCTCCAGTAAGTTTAAGTTTAGAACTGTAAAGAAAAGTTTGATATTGTTAAGTTATTGACATAAGTTGGTATTTTGAAGAGGTTTCCTTGGCACAATAAGTACTTGATAAATTTTTCTACAAGCTTAAAAAAAAAAAATCTAGATACTTAATTTTAGTTCTTAGGGGGAAATGATTTGTAAAATAATTAAAACTGAAGGAGAGTTACAGTTCATTATGAGTAAATTAAAATTTCAAGGTAAAGCTGCTTGGAGGAAACGAAGATTGATACAAGAATAAATAGAACAAGATAATTATGATTGATAAGTTAGAGTCTCATAAAAAGTAAAAATATTGCACTTGTTGCTGGATTCAAGGGACACAAAGAAAATTGAAAGGGTGAATTGTGCCGTAATCAAAAGGAATCAACCGTACATATTCCTTCGGTATAAGAATGAAAAAATAGGAAAAAACGGTGATTCTGTATTTTGAATCTAATTTATCTCTTACCTTTGAATAAGTCTGAAGATTCCAGGGACACTTTTTCGAGACAAATAGGACCAGTAGTGATATTTTGTATTTGAGCCTCTAGAAATATGCGATCAGCCTAAAAATGATAAAAATATGATACATTATCACTAAAAATTAAAAGAGCAGCCTACGATTACGAATGCAGGGAGAAACTTGGAACATGAGCCTTGTTGCCTACCAAGCTGGTTTTATCAACTAGCATTGAGGGTTTATATGGTTACTACACTTTTTTTTTCGACCGGGACCTAATTGCTTGTACTGCTGGGCCCCTGTAAATTTTTTCTTTGGTTTGTTTTTTTTTTAGAAAGGTGGGAAGGAGGGAATGCAGTAACACCAGGGGAAATAAAAACACAAAAGACCTTGGCTGGCAACAAGGTAACAATAAAAATTTAAAACCTAAAAGAACATGATTGAAAACTTTGTGCCCTGAAAAAAATTAAACTCAAAGTTACTAAATGAAATCAACAAATGGCATGAAATTCGAAGACTTTCAAGCACATGTATTTGGGTTATTTCTCCCAATTTGATGATATTCAGGGATATGCAAATTTAAAATGATTTAAGAAGATATCTTTGAACACCTTACAGGGTGTAGCAAACCCTAAAACTGACAAATTAACTGCAATAATTCGTTTTGCTTGGTGTGACAAAGTTCCATAAACTAATAATATTTTTATACTGTAAGTCTAAGGCTGCTTACCTCAGCTGTATAAAACTTAGTGGTTATATTCAAAGGTTTGAGTACGGGAAATTTGTAACATTTTCTAAATGAAAACGTACTAGAATAGCTAACATCACAGATCAGCCTGAAAAAGAAACAAAAAATATTTTAAAATTTGTAGATAATTTATAAAATGTTCTTTTATTTTCACAAAAGAGGGACCAAACGTCTCTCTCGGATTTCTAGATCCTATGGCTATGGACGCAAGCTAATACATCGGCACCGGTTATAAGAATCTTTGTCCAATGTTTTTGTGTCCAATTTTTTTTGGTCCATTTTACATTTATGTCCAGTAGTTAGTTTGGTCCAAAAGAAAATTTGTCCTACCTTGTTTAGTCCTCTTTATTACTTTGACTCATACTTGTGTGTCCAATGATCATATTTCATTTTTGTCCAATCTATAACGTAGGTAAATGTTAGGAAAGGGAGTAACGTAAGGGAGTAACGTAAGAGCATGTTGGAAATGAAGGTGGATTTAATAGATTCTGCATACATTTTAAGCTGTTGGTACAGAACGTTGTAAGTGTCCTCGGTTTTATGGGAACACAGCTTGTGAACTAAAGGCAGGACAACGCCCATGAAAAAGTATGTACAAAGGACAGAAAAAAACCGATAGGACCTAAAACGCAGGGCCATTTTATGGATTGGACCAAAAAATATCGGACCAAACTTACTGAACTAAGTGGTACCGGGCAAAATTTATTGGACTAAAATTCTCTAGGACGAAAAAAATTGGACGAAAATTCCTGAAACCATCGGCACCACTTCGTCGGCTACCGCGCATAGGGGCGTAACTACATTTTTACGATTTTTCAGGAGAGCGGAAATAAGATTTTGCAATGTTTCCGCGCTTCGTAATTAGGTCCCTAATTAAAATTTCGAAGTGATTTTTTCAGACATAGAATCAGAAGATTATCTACTTCCAGGATATGTAAGCAAAATTTCGAAATCAGTATTAAAACAAGGTGAAAACCCGGTTTTAAAAATATGCGTGTACTTACGCCCCTATGCGCGGCACACGGAGTGGTTAACAGGCGCGATACGCCCCTGATTTCTAACAGTCAAGCAGGAGTCTTCCTCTTCTGGGTATCGCCATCGACCATGTAGCATGTCATTATGTTATCGTTCGATGACGTTAATTGTTTTAAATTATTTCTTTGTTTATTTGCAGCCTGTAAAGGTATTTGTTCCACATGAAGAGTACTAAAAGGAATTTGAAATTAAGGAAACAATTTTTTCAACTCACAATTTTTCCTCCAGTAACAGTTGCAAAGATTGTGACTAAAACTCGTTTAATTCTACTTTCTTTGGAAAAAAGGAACGAGAAAAAGAAGAAGAAATTTAAAGTACTCTATAGGTATATCTTTAACGTTTAAAATAAAGTAATTAATAAGTTAAATGTATTGAATAAAATGGCCGGGATAACAATCGTAAAATCTATTACACTTCGTTTTCCATGATTTCTTCTTTTTCTTTGTACCTTTCTTTTCTCTCTCATTACAAATATTCTATAATTTGAACGGTAAATTGTTATAAAAATTAATATTCTATTGTCGGCAAACTATACGGGATGATCTCCTGAACAGAGTGCTAATAGACTGGCATGTTTTTCATTGGTTAAAGGTCTCATTTTAAATTAGGTTTCGTTGAGGCTGAACGATTTAACTTTTGATAAAGTCCATTATCGCAACGTTTAATTTTCTCCTTGCAATGATCGTGGCAAAAAAAAACTCTACACCTAGACATGGTGCGCACATATCTCTCCGGCATTGGACGCACTGGTTCCCAGTGGGGACACAATTTTGGGGTTTAAACATTGATAATGGCTCGGTGTCAGAAAATGAGAAATTGTCACAATGCGGATCGTTTTATTTTCTTGAGTTTTGATTGAGAGACTTCATCTGAATCAGAAACATCAATATCTAACTCGTATTCACTAAAACTGTGTTCGCTGCTTTTCGTTGCAGTGATTAATGACTATCCCATAGTGGTAATGCTTGTTGCGCATAAACCATACGCACACGCGAACCCATTATGAATTCTGATTTATGTCCCGGTGGTACCAAATCAAGCTCTTACGAATGCACATTTGTAGTTTAAAATCCTACTCAACAAGTACAAAGTACAAGCATGTTTTTTTCTAAACCAAATCGCGACCGAAGAGCATAGAACTTGCGACCCGAAATGCACCTCACCCACCAGTCAACCAACGCGCAAGGTAAATTTTGAGAGAGACTGAAGTAGACTAGGAAATTAAAGGGATAACCTGACGCGACCTCTCCAAGTTTTACAACATTCCCACGTTTTCCATTCATTTACAAGTTTTTGTTCAATACTTTTGTCTGATTATTAAGCCATGAGATGTGGAAACCTTTCAAAGAAAAAAAGAGGTTTTCGGTAAGCAGCTAGCCAGTTTTGACGCCCGAAATCATGCAGTAAATGCAGCTGATACGATTTTCTCGAATTCTGGTCGTTTTCATATATGCCGATGAATGCCAGACTTCAATCGCTGGCACCGGCAAGGAGATTGCCAAATTTATTAAAAGTCGCTGGAGCTTTAAACACAGCGCATATAAGCAGATCATTTTGCCAATTTGCTACCAATGTTGGCATTGTAAAACACGAAGAGGCATTCTGTTGATGCGTATGGAAAGGAGAGTGAAAGCCGATCGGGATTTTCCCGAAAGATAGAGGCTGTCCCTTGAAGAACTGACCGTTGAGTGCGGGCGGATGAGTAGAATGGACGCAGGTAGCGCCGCGCATACAGGCGTAACAGCTGAGCTATCCCCGTTTCGCGCTGATCCGCCTCTATGCGCGCTCACGAGGAGAGCAAAATGTAGATACGCCTATATGTTTTTGCTTAATAACTCAAAAACTATTCGGATTTGAGCTTTCAGAGTAAGCTAGATCGAAAGAGCACCCTCTATTACATAAGAATCGACTAAAAACTCAAAATGTCAAAATTCGCGGTTACGCCCCTATGCGCGGTAGGCGACGACTTTTGGGGAAGGAAATGCATTCCGACAATGAAACTACAAAAACTTCAGCCGGTGTTTCAAAATCTGCAGTCTCATTTTATTTTATCAAAAGAGAACAAACACACGCTGTTGCTTACACTTTGTACAGAATATTCTCTGCACAGAAGGAAGAAATGAAAAATCGTTGTCAAGAAATAACAAGGAGTATTTTCTGATTTGAAAAATTAATTAAGACAGAAAGTCTACAGCAGTGCAAACTGAGATTTGCGTTTTTTGTAGTTTCAACGGCGAGTTGCTTATGTTTTCTTGTTTGATAAAAAGATACCTAAGGTAAGAACCCTGCATCAAAATGATGACCAATTGAAACTTTTAATTCATTGACCAAATTGCAATTTCAATCCACTCTTCATTTTCCATCCTTCAGGAGACAAACAAAAGCCTACCTTTGGTCATGTTTCCTGGGAACTAAAGTTTATTAACTTGAATTTCAAAATGCTTGAATGTCGATATTACTTTTTGAAATGGCCAGAAATTTTTCTAGTACTTAACTTTCAAAAACTGTACTGGTGACTTTGATTGGTTTGCTCAGATTGCAGAGCAACATTCATGGATATGCCATGAGTTTCCGAAGGTGAAAGGTATACTTACATAGTTAGACCAAGCTCTCGGACATCATGATGGATTACTTCTTCTAAGGTGTCTCCAGGTAAAAGATCCTTGGGTTTAACACCTGCGCGGTAACCAACTAGTGGAATTCTCTCAGAGGTAGTTTGAAGGTCTACCTAAAATAGTAACAATACTTTTAAACCTATAATTCAAATATGAATATGAGAGATCAAACTCGCAACCAAATGAACTTGGTCTTCAACTGGGTGAGTATTACATAAATAAATGAATCTTTGAAAGTGTACAGATTCAAAGGAATTATTTTATCCAATAAATCTACCTGATACATATTTTAACAGAATATATGAGGTTTTATCAGAGTCTGTATTAGGTTATTAAGAACCTACTGAATTCCTCTATTTTGAGGGCAGCAATGCCTGTGATTTTGGCTTAATCTTCCGAGATAAACTTTTGAGTTAAATATTTCCCGATGCACAGGAAGAAATTCAAAGTAATCAAAAATCATGGTTAGGATACTGTATCAGGGGAGAGTTGGATGTTCTTTTGGATGACTTTTTTCTAAAAAAAAGAAGGGAGGGCAATGATAGATTGATTTTCAGTAAAGTCTTACCTTCATTGAAACTCCAGTAACAGTTTGACTACTTGTGTTCACAACACAAATATAACCTGAGAAAGTTTCACCTAAATATATATTTCTGAAAAAAGAAAGTAAAAAAGAAAAATTGGTGAGTGATTGTAGGTTTAATCTAAAATACACATAATTCCTCCGAGTCAAACGCTCTTTAAGTGGAATTTTCCTCACAGTCAGACTTTTTAAAGATCCCGTTGAATTATTCATAAGAACAAAAAGCCCTCTAGGTGAAACTAATAATCTTTTCCCTATGCAGTTTGACTTACAGTACCAGGGAGACACAGGAGTGGCAGGAGAAAATTATCTGAGTTTTCTAGATTTTCCCTCATTAAAATAATCACAATTTACTGACTTTCCACATCCACAGTTTACACACTTGGGCAGAACTGGAAACGAAAACTTTTTGGCAATACACAATTTTACAGCAAATTACGGAAATACGTCATCTCTTTTTCTGTAAGTACAAATCATTCAAGAAACTCGAATTTCCTTATTGACATTCACCCCTCTGCTTGCAATTCAAAGTATACTTCACAGCATTGAGCCTCAATGTAGACTGACACACTTTAGAGCCAGACTGACCACAGCTTAGTCAGATTGTGTGGACAGCAATCAGGTACTTCAAGATTTAAAATTTCCAGTTTTTTCAAAAAATTCCTTAACTTTTCTCAGTTTTCCAGATCTTTCAACACATTGTTTACAATAATGCTCACAGCAAGAGGTTCCTCCGTGCCAACAAACTTGCATCAAACTGTTTGTATTACTACTTTGCGTAGTGTTCACAGACATTTTAGCACAGGAACACCCAAAATGTCAAATCCATTTGGAATGATTTATAAAGATTTCGATTTTGTAGACTGAATAAAGTATTTTTGAAATACAGCTATTTTCAATTATAATTGACCATTAATGGCCAGAAATTATCCAACTTCTATTCCAGATCTTTTCAATTATGATTTATTTCATTCTTACCCAAAATTTTGAGTGATGGAGAGAAACTGGCCTGCTGCTAGGGTTTCAGTGCCAGGCACAGCTGTAGGATCATGTTTTAAGGCATTATTCAGAAGATTACCAGGAAGGTCCTTAGGATCAGATGTTACGATGATAGGTGTGCTTAGTGTTGGCTTCGATAGGCGCATAACTGGAAAAAAAGGGAAAAATTAAGCTCACTTTACCAGACTTCGAATGAATGAAATTAAGAGTAGCAATCATGATGGGAAAATGGTTATGCATGTAACTGAACTCACTGACAAATATTGAATGAGGCTTTAATGATGAGATTGCTCTTTTCAACAGAAAAATTCAAATTTGAAATATTATAATGATAAAACTGAGTTTAAGCAGGGAATTTTAAGTAAGTGCTCAGATTCTTTATGGGTAAAATATTTAGGGAACTTAAAGGGTTTGGGGATGGTGTCTGGACATCATTTAGTTTGAAAAAAATTTTGAATGAATAAGTATATTGTTCCTATTCTGAATGGGCCAGTTGCGCTGGTAACAGAATCATGCTTTGATGCTTGATTCTTGTAGATTAGCTAAACTTAAGAAGACCTGCCAGAACAGCAACTTTTTATGTTGAATATTAACCGAGATATCGTCCTTTGAAAAGTCAGGTTTTCGACGTCATCCATTGTGGTAGTGCATCAGATAGTATGCACTACCATGGTGGATGACATTATAAATAGAGTTTTTCACAGCGCTATATCTCGGTTGATATTCAAAGCCCAAAGTTGCTGTTTCAACAAATCTTATTATTTTTAGTTGATCTGCAAGAATAAAATATCAGAATACGATTCTGTGACCAGCGCAACTGACCCACTGCCAACCGCAACTAGAGAAACTTTCAGCAAAACTCTTAAGGAGGAATGTAAATTAACAATGAAAAAAAGAAGATAGTATGGTAGCACAAATTTAGCATACGTAAACCTGTATCGTATGATAAAAGTAGAGCTCTCAAAGTAGCATGATGTGACCCTCCATTGCCCTCAAAGATTGTCGGGCCAACTATCTTTGAGAGTCACGTCACGCCACGCCACTTTGAGAGCTCTACTTTGATCGTATGATACAAGTTGTATTATTGCACTGTACGCAGGGTTACCGTAACGTCTTCATCATCAAATTCCCTGACTTTTCCCTAGCTCCAAAATTGTCTGATTCCCTGACTTTCTAATGAAACTTCAACTTTAATTTTCCTCCCATCATATACACTTGTTGCAAAACGCACCTCCCAAAATTCCCTGACTTTTCTTGTTTTCTAGACCAAGAGCAACTCTGGTATGTTTTAAGTGAGTGCCTGAAACGTCAGTGACAACTGATTTCTGAAAGTTGGTGCTTAAGATAAGTAATAAAGATTAATTTGATACGAACCGCGCACAGTTAAAAGTTGCTCCTCCATATCCTGATGTAATGACTTCCTGACACTGCAATATACAGGAATAATCACAGGAACAATTCAGCAGATGTCCAGTCTGGTCAAGAAGTTATTTTGTGCATATTCATGGGGATGGTAAGCATTGGTTCTGACCCGCAACGACATATGCTATGATTTATACATAATGAAAGAGAGTTCAGATTAGGGAATTTACACGGTCAAATGATTCTGAAGGATCAAAAGAAAACGAAACTAAAATAAATACTTCGCTAATGATTGAGTAAAAAACACAGAAATACTGAACGGTGTGAAAAATGCTGCCGTATGGGGTATGATGGAAAACACTCACAGAAGGACAGAATTTCTACGGCAGATTATTCATTCTAAATCGCAGAACAAAAGGAGTTTTAAAAAAGTTATCAATGCAAATTGTTTTGCATTATTGGTAGTTTTTAAAAAAAATTATTACACAATTTTCTAACCTGAAAAATTTGAAAACACGTATTTTGTTTACAGACTAGTGCTGCGCTCTGTTGAAAGCTCGTATGACTAAGTGATGACGTGATTAAACAATGTTGCAAGATTCATGATGTAATCGTGGACATTTGTCTCCCTAAAGTTTTTATTCTCCGCAAATGATGTGTAATTAATCTTGCAGGGTATTCTCCAAGAAAAAAACTAATCAATTTTATTAAGTAACTTAGTTTCCAAATTTGGAGTGTTTCGGCTGTGTGTTCAGAAATGGCAAAACACACGTCATAGATTTGGCAACTATGAGGGCGAGCCAGGTGAGAAAAACAGTTTTTGTTTTGATGATAAAGACGCAACAATTGTCCGCGTTTTATCACAAATTTGAGTCCATCTTAGCCAATTTTCAGTGGTTTTTGTTCGATTCAACGCATCGTGATCGTTACGCAGTCTATTGTGTGCATCTTTTAATTTATAAACCCGCATCAATTGTTTCGCATGTGGGGGTAAGAATGATGTGAGTGTACAGTGTACTCGCGAGAGTTGTCTGCTATGAGTCAGCCACGGCCGCTGGATCAGATCAGTCTAGCGTCAGCCGCTCTCCTCTTTCGTGAACTTTGAAAGTAAAACTTTACAGTTGCAAACGATTAGTGTCGCCTCCGCTCGGTTAAAATGTGTTTCGAAATCAATTCGATAAGCTCTCAGTCTGTCGAGGATATTCGTGATAACACGGTTGGTGAATGATTCAGTGTTGTGTTTAGGTACGTGTGATAAGTGGATCAAATTTTTTGTGCGTTTTATAGTTTCGTGTGTATGTTTTCATCGTGGGAATCCAACGTTTGTTTTAAAAATATATTCCTGACGGTGTCCTCTTCGCAGGATCCCAGCTCTTTCGTTCGCTAAGTTTTCAAGACTTTGTGCCCTACTCAGTGAGCTACCAATCAGATGTCTGGATATTTGTAAACATGAGCTGATACATTTTGTAAGTATACCTACTCAACATGCAATTATCACAATTATTACTATTCGATAAAAGGTCTAAAAATACTGCTTTTCTGGTTTCAATGTCGTCTCATTTTCTGATCGATACCGTGTCCAAGCCAAATTATTACTGTCTTCAATTTAGTAAATACTGCCCCAAGTTTTTTTGTTGGATCATACGCTTATGCTTCTTAGAAGTATAATAATTCCGGAGCTTTTGCACCAAGAACGTACAAGGCTTACGTTGTGGCTAAGATTCTGCAGTTTCTAGCACCATTCACAGACATGGATTAAATTATTTCACAGTCTAATTACTTTCCCTCCAAAATAAAAATTCCGAAGCTTCTTATAGGCGAGGTGCTTGCATAGCTTTTGGATAAGCCATTAGTACATACATGAAGGGCAAAATTGCTACAATTTCAGCAGCATTGCAGGCCATAAGTACACACCTTCTACCGAAGAAATCCTTAAATAATATTTAATACTTTTATTTCAAAGTTTTTCCCCATTTTGAAGGAGAAGTTTGAATCGCATATTATACATAAAACTGCTGGAATTATCGGGTTTTTGCCGCAATATCAACGTAAATTACTCATGCAAAACTTTGTATGTTTCTACAAACCCACTGATATATCTCACATTTTTTTAATTATCATGAATGTGTGCATAAAATCTCTATAAATCAACACTGGTCCAAGCATGCAAGCATTCGAACTCCAAAATAAAGTCTTTTGGTGTGATGCCGAAAAGAAGACCCCGCGGCTTTTCGCCTGTCTCAAGTCAGCCTGTCAGCTCCGGTCATCGAAATGCTGAGGATTCTGCCCACCTCAATCGGCACCCCCAGAGCGCTTCTCCAATCTTCGCTTACCCTAACTCGCCTCGTTCTCTGTTCCAGGCTTTGGTCATGAAATGGAGCAAGTCTCCCTGCCGATCCCGACCCCGCGCAAACTACCCCTCAGCCCGCCGGCCTCCAGCAGCCGCATCTCCAAGAAACCCGTGCCTCTCCCGCGTACCACCGTAGCCATCCCGGAGCCCCCTCAATCCTCGCCCCCCAGCTCCCCCGACATGGACTCCCTGACCCGGCGCATCAAGTCGGCCTCCTCGAACGTCCAGCGGAAGCGCGAGGCCGTCGTCGAGGGCACCCGCCACGTCTCCTCCAAGATCGAGAAGTCCGTCAAGAACATGCTCAACAAGCGGCAGTCGGCCCTCAGCCGCCTCGACTCCTCCACGTCCCCGGAGGACTCGCCCGCGGGGGCGAAGGCTGAGCGGTGCACTTCGCTCCCCGCCGAGGATATCTTCCACTCCATCAGCTTCATGTCGCCCCTCGATGCGCAGAAGTTCGACCACGATGGGCTGAACTTGGACCGCTCGCCGTCGCTGGATAGTCTGCCGCCTCCCGAGTACCCGCCTCCGCCCTTGCCAGACGAACTATACGACGAGGTAATTATATTGTCATGAACGTTAATTGATTTGAAACTCTCGCAGCTCAAAAAATCTCAAAATATGACGTATACGTGGACGTATTCTAATAGTTACGAACGTATGCTTAATGGACGTATTTCTATCAAACGGAACTAAGCGCCATGCGGGGGATGAAGGTAGAGGGGGGCTTGAATTGGCGGCGGAAACGGGCGTCCTGCTCGTTCCGTCCTATACTCGCAATGCTCTTCCATTGCGCTTAGTTCCGTTTGACAAAACGCGCCATCCGGGATTTTAAATTCCTCCGAAGGAACTCAAATTGGCGCTTAGTTCCGTTTGACAGAATATATACGTCCAAATAGTTTTCGTAAAAATGATCGAGAAATGAGATGAAATAGTCAAGGAGTTTCATGTCCTAAAACCCTGGAAAACTCCTCTGAGCTTGAATTTAACCGGGCAATTCAATTTTTTACAGGAGAACGCCTGTGCTGATTTTGTTGAAAATTTTCAGGAATTTGCTGCGCACTATGTAGAAAATTCATCGAAATGTGCACAAAAATCCTCGCGACCGTTTTCATGTAAAAAATTAAATTGCCCAGTGAAATTTGGCAGTAGCTGATGTGGCGTAGTTCCTTTTTGCCAAACGCCTCCAAATAGTCTTTTGTATCAACACTGGGAAAAAAAAAAAAAAAAAAAAAAACATATTATGGATCTAGAGTCCAGACTCCAGACTCTTAAAAACACCGACAAGAAAAAATATTCTTGATTCAATCAGATTTAAGCTCAGATCAAGAACCAAGCTTCTTAATTTAAGCGGATTTCCTTTTGATTTAAGCTTAAATCTGATTGAATCAAGAGTCCTTTTTCTTGTCAATGTTTTCAAGAGTCTGGACTCTAGATCCAATGTGTTTTTTTTTTTTCCAGTGAAAATCCCGCACTCGATGTCGCCGCACCTAATCCAAATCCGTTTCTCTCCACCAGGTGACCTCCAACTACTCGGGGAGCCTCTCCTTCGGCGAGTCCTTCGAGGAGTCCGTCCTGCGGAGCTTGAGCATGTGCGAAGGCAGCGAGTCCAACTTCTCGGACGAGAGCGAGCGCAAGGAGAAGGAACACGAGGCCTCGAAGAAAGCCGCGCGCTGCGACTCGTGGGCCTTCTACGGCACCGTCAACATCGCCGCGAAGAAGCCGGAGCGCCGCGACTACGAGAACGTTGCCATCACCCCGCAGCGCGTCGTCGACAACGTGTACACGACAACCCCTAGTCGTGTGTCCTTCTCCTCGACAGAAGTCACAGACTCGAGCGAGGACAAGCGCAGCGGGCGCGCCGAGAGCTACGAGGCGTCCGACTCCAGTAGCGAGGGCAAGAAGTCCGGTAGACCAGAGAGCTTCGCGAGTTCGGTGTCCATCAGCAACGATATGTACGATACTTGGGAGCCGCGACTACCAGCAAAGTGTCCGATCCGACGGCCGTCCAAATCGGTTATCATCGAGTTCGATCCACTTTACGAGAATGTCCCCCAAGACGAAGAAAGAATACCAAGTGAGGGAAGTAGTGCTGAAGACTTCGCGTCGCTCCCGGAGGTGCCGGAGCGGGTGGATTCCATCTCGGAGTGTTCGCGGGACCTCCACCCGACGGTGGCGAAGGTGGAGGTGCGGGAGGTCGCCGAGGAGGCGGCCGTGGAGGACCCTACCGGTGCGGCCAAGAAGAAGTTGGTGCGTTGGACGAGTATGAAGAAGGCCATCAAGGCGGTCGCCGAGACGAATTGGTCGCCCGGGCGGCGGGGGCGGAAGGGTGGTGACCCGCGGGACCGCCTCGAGAGGCCGCCGTTGGCGACCCTGTCCGCGTCGCCCCACTCGGGGCAGCTGTTCCGGTCGCCCTCCGGAGGGGAGAAGTCCAAGGACTTCGTGTCGAGGAATTGTCAGTTGAGTGAGGGGAGGTTGTTCTACGGGAGTGATAAGGGGGCGGTCAAGGATTCCATCGCGCTCGACTCCGTGCTCAGCTTGCAGATGATCTTGGACCGGAAGACCAGGTAAGATTCAACTTGTTTTTACCCTTTTTCTCCACTCCAGGGTGGCTGCAAATCCGGAATTTCCGGAAATAGTACTGATTTTTTAAAGGAGGTCCGGATTTTTTTAAAAAATTTTCGTCAATTTTGTCGCAATTTGAGCGAGATTTTCTAAGTTTTGAAATTTTTTGAATGTCTTCAATCGGAGGCACTGAAAAATTACTGGATTTTTCTGATGAGAGGGTATACCGGATTTCTTCTGTATATACTGGAAAAATACTGTAAAAGTACTGATTTTTTCGGGCATTTTCTGCATCCCTGCACGCAGTCCAATCCTGCAGCCGCGCTGAGGAAGAACGCGGTGTGAGCCGTCAGACTTCAATGAAAAACGAATATACCAGGAAAATTGTGAATATTTTTACAAATTTTACAAAAAATTCTCCTTGGCATTTGATCTGAAATAGCTGGAAATTCCAGGGAATAATATAAACAAGTTTCTACACGTTTCATCCGGTGAAATTTGGAAACTTTCTAATGTTCGCACAGCGTTCCTCCTTAGCCTTAGCACAGCAGAATTGGTTCTCGACGTCTTTCATAGAGAATGCTACCAACCAACTCTGCCGTGCTAAAGAAGAACGCCGTATGAGAACTCAGTCGTTGCCATATTTCCTTCAATAAAACCTGACTTTACGGGGAATATCGTGATTTGTTTTCTTCAATTTTTTCCGACAATTTTGTCTAAAATGTCTGAAAATTTCGTGGAAAAATATGCACAATCGCTCTCAAAAATACACGTTTTATCCGAGGTGATTTTGCAACTTTCGAGTGTTCATACGGCGTTCTTCCTCAGTACGGCAGAACTGACAAGCAGACCCTTTGCCCCACAAAGTTCTTCGTTCCTTTTCGCTAGAAACTGGACATTTAGGGCCGACCCTTTAACCTACACACCTACGCCCAACTAACAAATCACGCTACCGTTCATAAGATGTCGAAAGTGCTTTCCTAGCAATGGTATGCCCCACGGAAGTCCTTTTTTTCTGGGAACGAGAAAGTTCGAAAGTTCCCTTGCACTACATTCCTGCTCAAAGCATTGTGGTGGAAGTTCGGGTCTACCGACCATCATGAACCACAACCTGTCAGCTGCATTGTCATTCCTCTAACCGCACTCCTTCCGGGAAACACATTAGCCCTGTCTCCAAGAGCCTCGTAATGTGCACGGAACTTGTGTCCCAGGCGAAAGAGGTCAAGTCTGCCGCGAGCTGCTGTCCACACCATGTAACACAGGTTATGCGCCGGCGAACGTAATCTACGCCTAATAAGCGCGAAATAATTACTTGGGAACGGTGCTGTGGCTTCGAGATTTCATTCATTGTCAGCTCAGGCGCAAGCGTCGTTGCCGCACCGCGTTGGAAAATATGCAACATTTTCGTACTCATTAAAGCATCGTGGATGTTCAGGGTGTCAGCGGAATTTCCGGGAAGTCCGGAAATAGTACTGAATTTTCTAGGGCGGTCCGGAAGTACTGAAAAATTGCAGAAATTCCGCAAGAAGGTCTGGGATGTTTCCATTTTTTTGTAATTTTGTCGCAATTTGAGCGAGAAATTCCAATTTTTGAATTTTTCGAATTTCGTCAAATGGAGGTACTGATAAAGTACTGAATTTCTTTGAGTAGGTACTGAATTCCTTGGGAATGTACTGAAAAAGTACCGTTAAAGTACTGATTTTTAGCCAGCTTATTTTAGTAGACACCCCGTTGTCCATATCCAACGAATAATGAGGTTAACGCCAGGCGCGAGTTCTTGTGAAGTTGGTCAACCCTGAAATCGCAGTTGCACGATGATCGAAAAATGAGGTATTCCTTTCCTTAAACAGAGAATTGTCGACTATTTTTTTCGGCAAAGTCATTCAACTATGTGTGCATCGCTCCCAGACAATGCCAACGCGCCGCGTGATAAGATACGGGCGGAATAAAATGGAGAGAGCAAACAAACGGGGAAACGTCCAACTCAGTGGTGAGCGTGTTTTGCGATGTATCGATTAATCCGCCATATAAACCTATGGAAAAGGATCGCTCAGGGCTCAGGGTGTCCGCTACGAATACCTTGATAATCGATTCTTTATCATAGCTTCAAATGGGGAAATATCGAAAGTCGACCTTACGCTTCGCCACTGATGGGGAAACGTCCAACTATCCACCGAGATACCCCCATTAATGGATTAAAGCTCTACTTTTAAGTGAGCCCGTATTATCTGTGGAAAAGGAACATGTGACCACTCACAGACGAGACCTGCAATCTATTCGGATGCAACGAAACTGCCTCAAAACTTCACCGGAAAAAAAAAAAAAAAAAAAAAAAAAAAAAAAAAAAAAAAAAAAANAAAAAAAAAAAAAAAAAAAAAAAAAAAAAAAAAAAAAAAACAACACATTGGATCTAGAGTCCAGACTCTTGAAAACATTGACAAGAAATAGGACTCTTGATTCAATCAGATTTAAACTTAAATCAAAAGGAAATCCGCTCAAATAAAAAGGCTTCGTTCTTGATTTAAGCTTAAGTCTGATTGAAGCAAGAGTATTTTTTCTTGTCGATGTTTTTAAGAGTCTGGACTTTAGATCCAATGTGTTTTTTTTCCAGTGATGTCTGGAGAGTATCGTTTTTTCCGACACAAAAAAAGAAAAAAAAAACAAGAAAACTCAAGCATAGGCGGATCTAGACACTTCGACTGAGGGGGCGTAAAGGGGGTCCGGGGGCTCCCCCAGAAAATTTTCGAAATTTTATGGCTTCTACTAGGCAATTTGAGTAAATTTTGTCATGAATAATCACCAAATACACGCGTTCTTCCTTCATCTTTCCTCCGTCCCTCCCTTTTTTTCTCTCTTTCCTTTTTCTTTCTCATTTTTTTTTGAGGAGGAGGGTGTTCGCCCCCTACACCCCCCTTAGATCCGCCTATGAGCTCGAACTTCCTAACATACACTGGAAAAAAAAAACACATTGGATGTAGAGTCAAGACTCTTAAAAACATCGACAAGAAAAAGTACTCTTGATTCAGTCAGAATCTAGCTTAAATCAAGAACCAAGCCTCTTAATTTAAGCGGATTTCGTTTTGATTCAAGCAAATAACCGATAGAATCAAAAGCATTTTTTCCTGTCAATGTTTTCAAGAGTCTGGACTCTAGATCCAATGTGTTTTTTTTCCCCAGTGTATTCTATTTTAGTTGAGGAAACCCGTCTTTTCGTCATTCGAAAATTTCTTCATGATTTTTGTCGAATCCTCTAAAAATCTTATTAAAAAAATAATATTAAGATCCTGAAACTAAGAGAATAATTAGTTTCTTCGTAAAAAAAGAGAGAATGAGAAACAACGTGATATTGGCGACGATTTTAAAGTATCGCCAGAATCAGATTAGAAGTATTTTAAGTTCATCAGCTATAAATATTTAAGTATGAAATTTACAGCCTTCGAGTCAGTAGGTATAACATAGCTATGAGAACTGAGATTTTTGGTCTACACTATCAAAAATGTCGGAGTGTAATCCGAAGTAAGCACGGAGCCCAATCTTCCTCCAAACCCAAGTGATCACATAGAGATCGCTAATTTATTGTATGCACCATTGTACCCCCTCGAGGGTCATACCTGCATTAATTTTTTCTAAGCGCTAGGTAAAATCTCCAAGATCTCTGTGAAAAATGTTGTCATAGTTGATGCAAAACAAACAATGCTCGCATGGTTTTTCGAATTATCTCAGTAGAATACTTCACCCCTCTCTCCAAATGCTCGACATGTCTTCCCCAAATATTTTGAATATAACTCTACCTACCTTTATGAGAATTGACCAGTCGACGAAATCGAGTGTTATCATTACATCACACTGAACTCGCCGTTTGTTTTCTTTCCCTTTTGGCTCAATAACCGTTTCGATAAATGAACGAATAGTTCCAATGTCTCTGCTGGACACATAAAATTTTATTTTTAACATCGATCTGTCGAATCATCCGTCTCTTCGCGTTTATCTACGTTTATTTCTGTCCAGTTCTTGAAACTAACCGTTATCATCTTATTAACTTCGCAAGTTCAATTCAGGGTCAATTGTCGTTGTATCAGAGGGCCAGCGGCTTTTGAGTGGTATTTTCCGCTATGCGCTTCCGATCTTATCCAATTTTTTTTATTTTAATTAACATTTTTTATGTCTGTGGAATGAGCCGTGATTCCTGTTGGCTTTCCCTCGTAGTCATTACTAAATTATCTATTTTGATATTTTTGCTCTGTGATAGTGATACTTCAAGCGTTTGAACGTACCAATACTTGGGAGAGTTCTACTTGAACAGATACTCGGGAGGTATAACTAAATTACTCTACCAACACCACACAATTGGTGCTCAGCCGTGATAAGGAATAACGCCGTATGAACGTCCAGGCATTGCCAAATTTCATCTGATAAAACATTAATTTCCTGTTTAACTTATGAATATTTTCTTTCCAATTTTTCAGATGATTTTGCTCACAATTTCACCTAAAGTTCGTGAAAATTTTAAGGAAAAATATTCATTAGTTTCCTCAAAAATGAACATTTTATCGACGGAAATTTCGTAACTCTCGAATATTCATACGGTGTGTTTCCTTAGCACGACAGTACTGTATTGGGACCGTTGCACTCAAGAGATCCAGATAAGTTAGTAGAGGCTTTCAAAGCTTGAAATCGTTTGAAAATCACGAAGATCACGTCAAAAAAGTGTAAAATCCACTTCATGATCACTGAGAAAAAACTATGGTTTATAAACCTATTAGAGGTAAATATGGAACACCTATAATAGTCGTAAATAAACTAATAATTCTCGGTCTGTGAACCATACTATGGTCTCTGTACCTAATTAAGGTACAGAGACCATAACTAAGGTATATGTGCTATTATTATATGTAGAGGTACTACTATTAGTGGTGTTCCATATTTACCTCTAATAGGTTTATAAGCCATAGCTTTTTCTCAGTGATGAATCATCTTGAAGGTCCGTATCACGCTCGCTTTC